TTATTTATGAGATTCCTATAAATATGCATACTCATGATCATATCATTTTTAAGCATTCCAATTATTGGAATTTGGATGCTAATGAGTTTTGAAATGGTTTTAGAGATAAGAAGGTTCATAACATTACTAATGAGAAAATTGAAATTCGGTGAACTCTAGCAGAATCATCAATGGTCTCAAAAATAAAATTCATACTGTAAATTTCTTAAAAAACTAAGCATTTGAGGGAATATTCTTCTTGGGCTGCTTTCTTTAACTTATACCATCATAATAATAGCTTTGATGGTTACCCAATTATTTTTTATTAGAGTAAGCATATTTTAAATCAATATAAGGTTAACATTGACGATTCTGTTAATAGAATGGCGGCTGAGTGTGGTGGTATTATTAGAGATTCCAAAGGGGGTGTTGTTCTTTCTTTTGCTTTATGAATTCCCTAATGCTTTGTCATTATATCTAAAATGTAGGCTCTTCACCATGCTCTTCAAACTTGTTTTAACAACTACTTGTGGAACATTTTGATAGAGTTGGATTCTAAATTGTTGAAATCTCTTATATCTGAAAGTCTTGTAATAATGCTTCTTTATATTATTTGTTCAAAAAAAAAAATAAAAACTATGCAGCTTTTTGAGCAGTTTCAGTATATCATCTCTCATATTTGGAGAGAGGGCAACATGAATGTGGATTGGTTTGCAAAAAAAGCCAACTTGATTCCTAACTCTATGAGTTATCTTAGCATGAATAATATTCACAATATTAAGGGAATGGTGAGGATGGATAGCATTGTTTTCCCTTATATCGTATTGAAATAATTTCTTCTTGGGATTTTTTTTTGTTTTTTTAACCAAAAAAACCATTATATTAGAGTAAAAAAGGAGTACACAAGATAAAGAGCAAAAACAATAAAAAGGACAAAATGAAACCAAAAGAGGGCTTAGTAATCGGCCGAGGCTCCCAGCATCCCCAAAGTCTCGAACGGACCATCCAATATGGCGAAGTAAGCGCACCAATCGATCCAACCAAGAATGAGAACATCACCAAAGGTAGCCAACAACTATGACGACAAGGAAACGAGCCCCAGCCACATCATAGCCCCACAAACCGACGATCCACAAAAACGACCAAAAAACCAGAAAACCAATCCAGATAAAATAATAGGGAACAATCACTTGAAAAAGGGGATTATCTTCCTCTCATGCCCCTCCCACGAAATCTCCCAAGAGAGACAACAGAGAGGGTAGTTCTATCACAAACCAGTTTAAAATCGTGTCCAGGGTCAGAGCCACCACAATAATCCGAAGAGGAATCGGATTCAAATTCAGACGTACAATGCAACCAATCAAGATGAGTCCTAACATCCATTCCTGAGTTATCACCCACATGATACACTAGTGCTTGGGTGTCGATCAAATTCACAGGCACATTAACAAAAGTATTAGAGCAGACAAACATTCCATTCCCAGCAATATTATCCACCCCTCCACAATCCTCGTTAAGGTCCATAGGCGAAGAAGACATACCCGAAGCCTCGACACCCAAAACAGGAGATACAACAATATCCAACCCTCAAAAATCCTCATTAAGACTCACACGCGAGCCAGACAAACCCGAAGCCTTGACACCCAACACAGGCACATTATGAAACAAGGGAACAGTCGAGGGATCAAGCTCAGCCAAAATAGGGCCAGCGTTAAGCGCACAACCTATACCATCGCTATTACTAACAACAGCCCAAGGAAGTTGGGGGGCCTGCAAATCCCCAAACACCCCAACCTCAGTAACAGACACAGCGGCATCCCCCAACACTATAGAACTTTCACCAGCCAACGGGGCAGGAGACCCCAGAGCAACAGGAGATAAAATCGAAAAAACAACAGGGGACAAGGCAGTAGCTACAATACCATAATTAGCAATACCACTTCCCAAAACCTCCAACACAGAAGGAGCACCGACATTATCAACATTTTCAACACATAGGGGAACCAAATTCGCGCTCGGGTTAGAAAAATCATTAGGAATAATAGCCGAAACAGGACGGCAATTACCCGAAGCATGGCCAATACATTTACAGGAAGCACAGAAATGGGGAAATTCAACACAACCTCATGGACATAACCTAAAGTTTCAGAGCCTAACCAAACTTGCTAAGGATAAGATTTCATTATATCAAGTTCGACTAGAACATGAGTATTTGAAGGTCGGGAACCAACAGAGGTTGATTCATCAATTTTCAAAGGCTTACCAAAAATCTCACCAAACCCATAGAGAATCCGAGGGGTGAAGAAGTGGGGACGAAGATGCAGAAACGAAATCCAAATCAGAATTACAGGCGACTCAGCACCTATATCCAAGCAAGGCGACCATTTCGTTAATTTCATATAGCAATTAAAAACAAGTTAGGATCAGTGACAAAACACCCTATAATAATCTAGATCATTGGATAACTTGATCAAAATGTGAGAGGGATCCAACAAAGTAACCGAAACTTCTCCATTAAGCTTCAAATTAAAGAAAAATTTCCAAATAGAGTCAAGAGCAGGTCTCTTAGATTGAAAAAAACCTACTAACGAGAATTGAAAGGGAGTAGCCAAATCGTTGATTTCCTAGTCAGAAATCCATAAAGAAGGCAAACCACGGAACGTATAAGTCCGAAAATTCGGATAAGAAGGCTTAGAACCAGCTAGCGCCTCTAAAAAAGATCGAGAATGAGAAACCCCCCCCAAAAAACTAGGGTCCCTAAGTTTACTCGGCGCCATACCGACACCGCCGGAGAGAACAAAGAAAACCAAACAAAATAGACACCAAAACAATAGGAGAACACAGGAAAGGAGAAAACTTCCTTATTACCCCCCTGCTTCTTTCGTTGCGATGATGAGTCACCCATCCCCGGTGCATTTTTACGCTTTCCAGTGGTTTGCTCAAATTGCTTCTTATGAGCATTGATGGCTTCGTCAGCTGAGATTTGGGCCTCTACCCGATGGATTAGGTCAGCATATGAATGTACTGTGTCTCGACCCATTTTGAAATCGGGTAGGGTTCAACCCGGATTTTCCGGGTCGGGTCCGGGTCGGGTTTTCGTGTCGTGTCAAATATTGACATCCCTATTAGTAGGGCTGCTGGCGATGATCGTCTTGGGTTTTTTTTTTGTGGCTTGGTTGGTGGATCTTTCTCACTTCTATTGAAGATTCTTTTATTTTCGTGGTGCTCTATTCCTAGTTTTTTGTTTGTGGCTGGTTATATGCTCTAGTAGTTTCTACTTGTTGGGTTGGTGGATGGGTATGTAACTCTTTAATTTGTCGAGCTCTTTCTTCTGCAGGCTAAAGTCATATCTTTACGGCTTTGCTCTTTAGGTTTCTCTAAGATTTGCTCCTCTATGTTATTTTATTCCTTATTCAGACTTCTTTTTTTTAGCATTTGTTTTGCAGAATGTTGCTTCTACATCCTGTTCGATCTTCATGTATATTAAGCTTTGGCTCTGGAGATGGAAAATCTTCAATTTTCTTTTCCTTTATTTGTTCTATCTTATATTATAATTGAGAACATTGGCTCATTAAATGTGTTGTAATCTAATAAATAATAATCCACTACTATTTCTTATTTTTTATGTATCAAGTTGAGTGAATACGAAGCAAAGACTTTTAATCTATTTCGATTTTTTTTAACATAATTTTTATTTTGTTTTAAAATAAGTTTCAGATATTATCAAAGCTGAAATGTATTCAACATATATATTGTACCCATTCATAAATATATAAAAGCAAGAAATATTATACATAATTAATTATTAATAATATTATTATATAGTGTTGGAGATATTTTAATATATATATATATATATATATATATATATATATATATATGTCTTAAACTATCTTTACACTCATATTTATCTCAAAATAAAATTTCTTTTGACTAATGCCAAACAATTGAGCATATTTTCTTCGTCTGATCAAAAAATTTTGTTTGGAATATATTTCAACCGCAACACTTAGCATTTGTTACTATTATTGAAAGTTTAATCGCAAGCCTATCGTTTGGAGCATATTTCTTTATACTTTCTAAAGCAACTTTGTTTTGAAAAAATTTCTTGTTCATTAAATTTTTATGCTAGTTTTAAAAAACAATAAGAAAGCTATCCCAAATGAAACATTCGTCGTCATTAAACATGCTCTACTTGAAGCAACTTTTTTCTTTTATAATTATAATATATATACAATTTTCATGCCTATTTTAATTAAAATCACTCAATTATTCATATTTCATTTGTGAGATGATAAGCTCTCATCATCATCCCACCTAACATTAAAGTTATTGGAGGCATAAAAGTCACTCAACCTTTTTTTGTTTCATCATTCTCCCTCTTATCATTAAAGTTATGGAATGTTTAAAATTATTAATGATGAAGGATATCCTATCGAATATACTTTTATATATATAAGCTTAATATTTGTTTGATATATATCAATTTTGTTCATCAGTGTGTCTAATTTTAAAAATAATAATAATAATAGTAATAATAAGAGGTGCTTAATACAGGTGTTATCAGTAATGAATTTAAATTAGAAAAATATCTCACAATTGATTTGAATTAAATTATAATGATGTTTATCTATTTCTACAAAGGAATCTATATTCAACTCCCTGCTAGCAATCTATAACAATTTTTTTTTTTTTTGCTATTTTGTTTAAAATCTTTAGGAAGTTTTAATATATTTTAAAATTTTATGAGGAATTGAAATACATTTCTTTTTATAAAAATTTACTTTCATCTTCATCCATCCCACTAAACATTAAAGTTATTGGAGCTTTAAAAACAAGATTTTTTTAGTGAATTTGTCATATTTATATAATTTAATCATATTTTTATTTTTATGGGCAAATAAAATTAATTTATTCTTAGCTTGGCCTCTCCTAACCACTCAAAATTCATATTGTCATCTTCTCTAAATCATCTCCAATCCACATTGAAGCTTCATCAATTCTTGAGCTGAGGTTTGGAAATGGCAGGAACCACTTCTTCAATCATCTCCAATCTATTGTCTTCCTTGAAACGGATATCCCAGTTTATGCCTAACTTTTCTTCGTTGGCTGCATCTTCCTCATCATCCATAGCACAAGAAGATGTAACTGCTGCCAAAGTTGATTCGATCCAAAAAACATTAATGGAGGATTTGAGCCGATTGTCGAAGATGCTGCAAAGAATTCAGGCAGTCCTTCATGATGCCGAGGAGAGGGAGATCTATGACAAGGCTATCCAACTCTGGCTCAACGAGCTTAGAGAAGTTGCTTATGATGCTGAAGATGTCTTGGATCAATATGATTATCAAGTTATCAAAATCCAAGTGGAAGGAATGACAGCAGCAGCTGAAGCTGAGCCATCTTTAAATAGGAAGCTAGTAGATGATCATGATGATGATAAAGATGAGGATATGCATGACTACCAGGTATGTCTTCAAGTTCCCAATTCTACCAAAATACTAACTAAATGAAATTGGGTATATTATGTTGATCATGCATGAAAACTATATATGATCAGGTATTAATACTGATGCGTCATCATGAAATTATCTTGATCAGGCACGAATCTCGAGGTAAAACACAATCCGGAAACTTCAAAAATTAAATTCGGGAGCATGTGAACTCCAATTTCAGCGAACTTATATTCAAACTGAGCATCTCGGAAATACGAACCCAACGACACCAAGTTTGACCCAATCCGAGCCCAAATGGGTCCGAATCATGGACCCGAAGCGCTGTTGAAAGGTTCAAACCGCAATTTGAGTTACCAACCGGTCTCCGATTTTGATGAGCTTATACTCGAATCGAACTGCTCAACGAGACAAATCCAACGAGCCCAAGATCACCGAATTCTGACATCACTAAAGCATTCAAATGTCCAACGAACGGTGCATGATCGTAGGATTCAGTATCGGCCGTCCATTCGACCACTCCATATTCTCCCATGATCTCACGCCTATTTATGGGCTATGCCACTCGAGAAAATATATAAATAGAGCCCTCATTCTTCACAATGGGGGAGATCCAAGCAAGAGAGAGAAGAAGAGAAGAGAAGGAAGAAGCTCCTCCTCGACAGCTGCCAGACCACCGCCAGACAACCGCAGAAGTCCCGCCGGACCACCGCAGGAACCTCGCTGTACCACCACCGAAGCCTCGCCGGAGTTTCATTGCACCACTTCCTTAAGATCCGACGTTCAGTCCCTACGTCCTGTTGAAGACCCGACGTCCTACTTAAGGCCCGACGTTCAGTCCCTACGTCCTGTTGAAGACCCGACATCCTGCTTAAGGCCCGACGTTCAGTCCCTACGTCCTGCTGAAGACTCGACGTCCCGCTTAAGGCCTGACGTTCAGTCCCTACGTCCTGCTGAAGACTCGACGTCCCTCTTAAGGCCCGATGTTCAGTCCCTATGTCCCGCTGAAGACCCGACATCCTGCTTAAGGCCCGATGTTTAGACCCGACGTCCTACCCAAGGCCATACCATCAACACCCGATCTTCCAAGTGACACTGGGTCTAACACCTGACTCCTTGTCTCCTACCGCCTACGGTCCTTCTGACCTCTGTCGCCTACTACGGTCCGTCCGACCAACATCACTAGACAACGGTCTTTCAGACCCCAGTTTTCTATCGACTACGGTCCTTCAGGCCTTCGTCGCCTAATATGGTCCTTCTGACCTCCATCAACAAACAACAGTCTTTCTGACCCCGGTTTCCTGCCGACTACGGTCCCTTCCGACTGGGGGGCAACTTTTGCTCCAATCTCAAAAGATCTCTCTTATCAACCTCCTGACATCAGTCATTATTGTATTAATTTCATAACAATCAGATGCGGACTGGAGGGCAACTTTGACTCCAATCGTGATCAAGAAGATCCCTCCAATGCTTTCAATATCAAGATGATATTTCAGAAAAATCCCAACGAATGCAGGGATACTTTCAATCGATTATAAGCTTTATACAGTCCCATGTTGGACTTCTACTCCTTGGTCAATGTCTTAATCTCAACCTCATAAAGGCAATAACGGTCAAAAGATAGACCGTTCTCTACTTTTAATTAGGGATACACGCGGCGTTTGCCCCCTCCAAATCAATACAAAATCGATCACAGGGGGATCCGATTCGACCTCTACCACACAGGTTAACGTCGTCGAGCAAAGGCTCCGACATACAACCTCGGATAGGTCTTACATCATTGGTGGATTCTCTCGACCTCTTCCACACATGTTAACATCATTGAGCAGGGCTCTGACATACAACCTCGGATAGGTCTTACATGCTTGGTGGATTCTCCCAACCTCTTCCACACAGGTTAACGTCATAGAGCAAAGGCTCCTACATACAACCTCGGATAGGTCTTACATCCTTGGTGGATTCTCTTGACCTCTTCCACACAGGTTAACGTCGTCGAGCAAAGGCTCTGACATACAACCTCGGATAGGTCATACATCCTTGGTGGATTCTCCCGACCTCTTCCATACAGGTTAACGTCATCGAGCAGGCCTCTGACATACAACCTTGAAAAGGTCCTACATCCTTGATGGATTCTCCCGACCTCTTCCACACAGGTTAATGTCATCGAGCAGGGCTCTGACATACAACCTCGGATAAGTCTTACATCCTTGGTGGATTCTCCTGACCTCTTCCACACAGGTTCACATCGTCGAGCAAAAGCTCCAACATACAACCTCGGAAAGGTCCTACATCCTTGGTGGATTCTCCCGACATCTTCCATACAGGATAACATCGTCGAGCAAAGATTTTGACATACAACCTTGGATAGGTCTTACATCCTTGGTGGATTCTCTCGATCTCTTCCACACATGTTAACGTCATCGAGCAAAGGCTCCGACATACAACCTCGGATAGGTCATACATCCTTGGTAGATTCTCCCGACCTCTTCCACACAGGTTAACATCATCGAGCAGGGCTCTGACATACAACCTCGGATAGGTCTTACATCCTTGGTGGATTCTCCCAACCTCTTCCACACAGGTTAACGTCGTCAAATAGGGCTCTAACATACAACCTCGGATAGGTCTTACATCCTTGCTCGATTCTCTCGACCTCTTCCACACAGGTTAACGTCGTCGAGCAAAGGCTATGACATACAACCTCGGAGAGGTCTTACATCCTTGGTTAACGTTGCCAGAATACCGTCAATGGACTTCCATCTGACTTCTCCACAATGTTATAATTCTACCCGATTTTGAATTTTCTCCTGTCGCTGAACTTTTGCCTTGCAGGACTTTCGACGGACTAATATCCGATGCCGGAATTCTTCGTGTCGTCGGACTAATACCCTTCATCGGACTTCTGTCTGTCGATGGACTTTCGACGTTCTTCTACCCGACAGTACTTCTATCCGACGTCGAACTTCTTCTCTTCAGCGGACTTCTACCCGACGTCGGATTTCTGCTCGTCAGCAGACTTCTTCCTGTTGTAGGACTTCTGCTCGTCAGCGGACTTCTACCCGAAGTCAGACTTCTACTCATCAGCGGACTTCTACCCGTCGTCAGAATTCTGCTAGTCAGTGGACTTCTACCTGACATCGGACTTCTGCTCGTCAGTGGACTTCTACCCTACGTCGGACTTCTGCTCATCAGCAGACTTCCACTCGACATCGGATTTCTGCTCATCAGCGGACTTCTACCCGTCATCGGACTTCTGTTCGTCAGCGGACTTCTACCCTATGTCGAACTTCTGCTCGTCAGCAGACTTCTAATCGACGTCGGACTTCTGCTCGTCAGCGGACTTCTACTTGACGTCAGACTTCTGCTCGTCAGCGGACTTCTACCTGTCGTCAGACTTCTGCTCATCAGCATACTTGTACCCGTCGTCAAACTTTTGCTCATCAGTGGACTTCTACCTGACATCGGACTTCTGCTCGTCAGCGGACTTCTACCCTATGTTAGACCTCTGCTCGTCAGCGGACTTTTATCCGACGTCAGACTTCTGCTCGTCAGCGGACTTCTACCCGACGTCGGACTTCTGCTCGTCAGCGGACTTCTATCCGACGTCGGACTTCTACTTGTCAGCGGACTTCTACCCGACGTCAGACTTCTGCTCGTCAGCGGACTTCTTCCTGACGTCGGACTTCTGCTCGTCAGCAGACTTCTACCCGACATCAGACTTCTGCTCGTCAGCGGACTTCTACCCGACGTCGGACTTCTGCTCGTCAGCGGACTTCTACCCATCTTCAGAATTCTGCTCGTCAGTGGACTTCTTCCTGACGTCGGACTTCTGCTCGTCAGCAGACTTCTACCCGACATCGGACTTCTGCTCGTCAGCGGACTTCTACCCGACGTCGGACTTCTTCTCGTCAGTGGACTTCTACCCATCTTCAGAATTCTGCTCGTCAGTGGACTTTTACCCGACGTCGGACTTCTACTCGTGAGCGGACTTCTACCCGACGTCGGACTTCTGCTCGTCAGTGGACTTCTACCCGACGTCGGACTTCTGCTCGTCAGTGGACTTATACTCATTGCGGGACTATCATCAGTCTTCTACCCGAAATCGAACTCCTGCATATCGATGGACATTCATCGGGCTTTTACATGCCGTAAAATTTCTACTCATCGTCGTACATCTCCAACCTTCGTCGGACTTCTGTCCGCTGTCAGCCTCCCAACCGATGCTAGATTTCTACACTTCAACAATCTTTTCAACCTCCCTCCTTACAGCGGTCTCTCCGACCTCCATCTCCAGCCAACTAACATCAGAACTCCGCAAGATCTCTCAAAGAATAGAGGGATAAGAGAAGAAGGGGGAATCTCCGGACTTCCTTGCCAAGAGAGGGGCCTCGGAAAACCGAGGGAAGGCCTCAATAGTAAGGACAGAGGGAGAAGAGAAGAAGGAGGAATCTCCAAACTTCCTTGCCAAGAGAGGGGCCTCGGAAAACCGAGGGAAGGCCTCAATAGTAAGGACAGAGGGAGAAGAGAAGAAGGGGGAATCTCCGGACTTCCTTGCCAAGAGAGGGGCCTCGAAAAACTGAGGGAAGGCCTCAATAGTAAGGACAGAGGGAGAAAAGAAGAAAGGAGAATCTCTGGACTTCCTTGCCAAGAGAGGGGCCTCGGAAAACCGAGGGAAGACCTCAATAGTAAGGATAGAGGGAGAAGAGAAGAAGGACGAGAAAAAGAGAAGAAAAGAAAGAAAAGAGGAGATGAAAAGAAATAGAAGAGGAGAAGAAAAAGAGAAGGTGCAAGTTTCCTAAAGGCTTTGAAGGCCTATTTATAGGTTGAAGAGAGGGGGAAATGTTTCAAAATTTGGGGGGAATTTTCCTCCAAGTTATTTCAGAAAGCTTCTAGAAGTTTTTTCGAATTTATTGGGCCTACTTCTAAAATTTTTGGGTTTTAAAAAAAAAATGTCATGTGTACTGTAGAAAACGTGGCACTGTAGCAAAAACTGTAGCATGTGATGTTGTGGGTACTGTAGCTGCGGTTACTGTAGCTACCACAAAGATTTTAAAATTGTTATTTTTTTTTTAAATGTGAGCAGCCAACGGCTGTTGGAGTCACTGCGTGCCCATAGCGGTGCGACTGTTCATCCGCACGTGTGGGTCATTCCGTCTCCGCATGAGCTTGGATGCTTGGATAATGAGAAATCATGGTTATTATTCCAAAGACATGCTTTTTGTGGTTGGGAACCTGGTCAACAACAAAATTTTGAACAATTGGGGCGGGGAATTACTAAGAAATGTGGAGGATTGCCTTTGGCTTTAAAGGCAATTGGAGGATTTCTACGATATGAAGTTAAGGAGCAGATTTGGAAGGATGTTTTAAACAATAATCTATGGGAGTTGGAGGAGACTAGAAGTCTTATTTTGCCATCACTAAGGATAAGCTATAATTACATGCCTGCACATCTTAAACCATGCTTTCTCTATGCATCTCTATTCCCAAAGGATCATTCATTTGGGAAAGAAGAATTGACAGGAATGTGGATAGCTCAAGGTTACATTCAATTTACAGGAAGAAAAAGATTTTTGGAAGATATTGCATTTGAATTCTTCGAAGACTTGGTGACAAGGTCATTCTTTCAACACTCTAAAGTAGGTATTGGAAATTTTACTTTGCATGATATGGTGCATGATTTGGCTAAGTTTATAGCGAGAAATGAGATATGTTCTTCATTAGAGTTTGATGAATTGAAGAACATCCCCAGAGATGCAAAGCATATTTTCATAAAAGACACAAAGGTTGATCGAGTACATTCACTTGGGAATATAAGAACACTTTATATTTCTACAACGTATCATTATTCTGTGGCACTTCAACAAAATGTATTTTCTGAGATTCCATTCTCTCATTTGGGCTACATGCGTGTTTTTATATTTCGTGTGCCTATGTTCAATTGCAGCTCTGAATTTATAGATTTGATAGGTAACCTACAGTTACTCCGTTACCTCTCTATCTTTGTGTATACAATCCAAATGACAGAAAACTCATTATGCAGACTTTACAAGTTACAAACACTAAGACTAGAATCATTTCATATAAATATGCTACCCCTTGCAATGGGAAATCTTATCAACTTACGTCACTTGGTTATTCGTAGCAAATTTCAAGATTTGTTGCCGAAACCATATTTTGGGAGTAAAAATATCCTTGATTTTAATTTTAATTGGGTATATAATATTTTGGAAGGGGATGTACTTAGTTATGAAGTAAGAAAAGATGGCCAAAATTCTAATATTAGTTTGCTAGAACCACTACAAAATTTGCGAGGAAATCTAATACTTTGTGGGCTTGAAAATGTGGTCGATTATGAAGAAGCAAAGAGTGCTAATTTGCAAAGTAAGCCATATGTTGAGAGCCTATCACTTATATGGAAATATGATAAATATGTTGAATGTGCAAGGAATGATGATAAAGCTATTCTTGAAGGCCTCCAACCCCACACAAACCTTAAAGAGTTAACCATTCAAGGCTACAGTGGTAGCAGCTTCCCAAGTTGGTTTGGCAATCCTCACTTCTCCAATTTAACAAACATAAGCTTGAGAGATTTCAACAACAATGAAGAATGTAGGCTTCTTCCTTTGTCTAAGCTACCATCTCTCACTTCACTTGTAATTATTCGTAATTATCGGATTACTAGAATGGGGCAAGATTTTTGGTGTTCTGATGTCTCTCCTGATGATCTTGAGAATTACTCTATGGAGGAGCATGAGGATTTTCATTCATCTGATTATTTGACAAATAAAAGTTTGCTTCAATGGAAAGAGCAACCAATGGTAAAGCATGGAGATTTCTCAAGCCTAAAGACTTTACGCATAGGTTATTGCAAGATGTTGCAACATATATCAAGCCTCCCATCAAGACTTAAGGAATTTATAGTGGTATCATGTAAAAGACTTGAATGTGTTTCACTTCCTTATTGCCCGAGACATTTTTTCTAGGCTACAAAAAGTGAAAATTTATAAATGTCGCAATCTCAAATCAGTGATCAACTTGAATAATCTTGTGGACACTCTTAAAGTTTTGAAGTTAGCTTGTTGTCCCCGGCTCAAGCAAGATCCATATGAAAACTTCGATCTTTCATTTGGAAGAGTTTCATTTGATGAAGGCATTGCAATAGTATATAAATGTCCAAGAATGAGAGAGTGGTGCCAATCGCATGGTTTCAATACCTATCATAAGGTACGTATAAGAAACTATTCCAATACATTATTTAGTCATATTAATTTCAATCTTTGTGCTAATAATACTTTTGGGGCATTATAACATTTTTTTCTCCTTTAAATTAATATTTTTATACTTTTGTGGCATTGTAATTTTATTAATACTTAAAATATAATTTATCAACTTCATATAACCATATTAATTACTAAAACCTTAGTTTGATATGAAATAAATTGTAGGAATTTTAATAATACTGACTATATTAATTTTGTGTAGAAAAACTCTAACAGTATTCTATTGGTTTGCAGAATTATTGGTATCGTCCAGCTGTTGTGGAAGAGTTGATTGAGGTTAGTAATTAATATGGTTATATGCCCTTTCTATAATAAGCCTTCTTTCCAAAAATACGCCTCTAAAATAATTCATTTAAAAATATTCATTTTTTTGTTAATAAAACAACCATCCTTAAGTTAAAATTTAAAAATCAATGCATTTTATAATTTTATTTATATTCAAAATATAATCTCTAAAATACAATTAACTAAATTAATTAATGAACATTTATACAGTTTATTATGAAGTGTAAGAATTTTATCATTGCTCTGCTTATGTAAATTAATTGTGTATAACAAATTCTAATATTAATTCTAATTGTTTGCAGAACTCGAACTTTGAGCCTTCCGAGGAGGTATGCTATGAATTTCAAGCTTGAAAATGAAATAATCATCCTTGAAAATTAAAATCAATGAGATCTATATCTTAATTAATATTCAAAATATAAGTTCTAAACTTAAATTAACCCAATTAATTAATTAATCTTTTTAAATTGGAAAATGATCTTGATTATTGTCACATTTTCTCTCATAGATCATATCTTGTCTTTAACTGTTTTATGAAACTCATGAAATGGTCGCCTACTGTTGATATCGGGGTTGAATCTCCGGTGATCCCAATCTGGGTTTCTTTTCCCTCTTTGCGTCCGCACCTGTTTTCTCCTAAAATACTCCATGGATTGGCTTCCATTTTTGGCAAACCTCTAAAGATTGATTCGGCCACGTCCTTAGGATCTAGACCGTCTTTACCGAGGGTGTTAGTTGAGCTTGATATCACCAAATCATATCCTGATTGTATTTGGTTAGGTTATGAAAAGCTTGGCTATGTTCACCAAGTCGTTATGGATGAATTTCCTTCATTTTGCGGTACTTGTCGCTACTCTGGTCATGCGCTGGGTGAATGCCGGTCAAAAAATGTTGTTTTGGAATCGTCGGGTTTACCTAAAATTGTAGAACCTATCGCTAAAAACGGTGACCCTGTTACTGTGGAACTGGTTGCTGTAGCTCTGAATAATTGTGATCTTCCTGCTTCTAATCAAGGGGAACGGGCGCTCCCTGTGGGCGAAGTGACTGGATTTGTGGATTCTTTGGTTATTTTTAATTCGTCTGACACTATATCCCCTATGAATTTGGTTAATTTGGTTAATGATGCGAATGTTGTGCCTTGTGGTCATGTTGATAACTCGGTTGTCCTATCCCCCGATGCAGTTCCCTTTGTCCCTATGGTTACTGTGTCAGGTGTTAATGAACTTCAGTCTGCTGATGCATTGGTTTTACCTGTTACTGAGGTTGGGGCTGGGTCTGTTGTACCGGCTGCTCTGTCATCTGATGTTGGAATTTCCCTTTTGCCGGTTGTGACTGCTGTTAGTGATCCTGAGCGAATGCTGGTGGAGAAATTGAATGGTAACTTGGTGTGTTCCAATAATTGTGTTGATGCCCCTGTACAAGTGGTGGATACGCTCAATTTGGTGAATTGTTTGGGCGATAAATCTGGCTTTGATATTAGAAATCACGTTGATTGGTTGCATGGATCGTCCGACTTTGAATCTGAATCTGATCATTCTGAATCTTATCTATTAATATATTAGTTTGTTTGTTAAAAAAAAAAACAAGAATTTTACATTGCTATTACTAATATGAATAACAAATTTTAACACTGATTCGAATGGTTTGCAGGATTTCAACAAAAGCGTCTGCGACAAGGTATGTCTATGAATTTTAAATTTGAAAATGAAATCCCCTTCCTTGAAAATTAAAAATTAATGAGATCAATATTTTTATTCATATTAAAAATATAGTTTCTAACCTTCAATTAACAAAATTAATTAACGAGTCTCTATATATATAGTTTCAAACCTTAAGGCTTCGTTTGGGACGGCTTTTTTATTGCTTTCTATAGCGGAGTTTTAGTTAAAAAAAATGTAATTTTTATGCTAAAACTCTGTTTTAAAAGCAATAAAAAAGCCGTCCCAAACGAAGCCTAAATTAATAATTTTATACTTTTGTGGCATTGTAATTTTATTAATACTTAAAATATAATTTATAAACTTCATATAACCATATTAATTACTAGAAATAAATTGTAGGAATTTTAATAATACTAACTATATTAATTGTGTATTGAAAAACTCTAACATTATTCTATTGGTTTGCAGATTTATCGGCGTCGTCCAGCTGTTGTGGAGTTGTATAAGGTTAGTTGGCACCTTCATTATATCTTTTCTATAATAAGCCTTCTTTCCATTTAAAAATCTTATTTTTTTTTTTAATAATCTCAAAGTTATTATGACGTGTAAGAATTTTATCATTGCTACTGCTTATGTAAATTAATTGTGTATAACAAATTCTAATACTAATTCTAATGATTTGCAGAATCCGAACAATGAGTCTTGGCATGAGGTATGCTATGAATTTTAAGCTTGGAAATGAAATCATCATCCTTGAAAATTAAAATCAATGAGATCTATATCTTAATTAATATTCAAAATGTAAGTTCTAAACTTAAATTAACCCAATTAATTAATTAATCTTTTTATAGCTTGATTATGAAGTATAAGAATTTTACATTGCTATTACTAATATGAATAACAAATTTTAACACTGATTTGAATGGTTTGCAGGATTTCGTCAACAACGACTCCGACAAGGTATGTCTATGAAGTTTAAATTTGAAAATGAAATCATCATCCTTGAAAATTAAAAATTAATGAGATCTATATTTTTATTCATATTAAAAAATTAATTTCTAACCTTTAATTAACAATATTAATTAACAAATCTCTGTATATATAGTTTCAATATGAAGTTTAAGAATTTTAACATTGTTACTACTTATATTTATTAAGTATGGATAACTAATTCTAACATAAATTCTAATGGTTTTTTGGGCACGGATTAACGCTTAATTTCTTAGGGAAGTGATGCTTGTATGAATTTCAAATAATTGAGATTTATAATTTTATTAATATTCAAAATATAATTTGTAAACTTCAATCAACAAAATTAATTAAATTAAAGAACCCTTAGTTTGATATAAAATCAAGTGTAAGTATGTTGACCTTGCTACTACTTTAATTATAGATATAAAAATAATTCAGTTTTTTTTTTTTGGTTTTTGCTTATTTTATTCTATATAGCAAACTAAATAGAACCTAAAAATATGCATGATTTAAATTTCATAAATTTCTATTATATCATAAATTCTAACGCCAATTTTAATGATTTGTAGGAATCTGACGGCAGCTCATCCGACGAGGTATCTGTACGAATTTTACACGTGAAAATGAAGTCATCATACTTGAAAATTAAAAATCGATGAGATTTATAATTTAATTAATATTCAAAGTGTAATTTCTAACTTTTATTGATGCACATGACGCATGAAAACACAACAAAATAATTCAATTTTTTTTCTTATTTAAAAATAGAACTTTTTTTTTGTTTTTACAAAACATAATTATATTAAGCCCAAAAAGAAGTACAAGAAGCAATGTAGCAAAAGACAAAAATAAAAGAAAATACAAAAATAACTAATCTGAATGGCTCGATAATTGGCCGAGGCTCCCAGCGTCCCCGAAGTCAAGCACAGACCCTCAAATTTGGTGAAGGTAGACACGAAGAAATCAAACCATTCAATCAAGCAAAAACAATCGAGCAAGAGACCAACACCAAAGGTTGCAATGAGCCAAGACGACAAGGAAATGAGCCCCAACCACATCATCGCCAGCACATCCACGACCAACAAAACAATTCGATGCACCACCCAAAAAAGCCAACCAGAGAGAGCAGAAAGCAACAAACACTGGAAACTACCTGCCCCATCGGCCCCTCCCACGAGAATCCCACGAGAACAGACAGAGGTAATCGGTCGGTCCTGAACCAATTTAAAATCATGTCCAGAGTCAGAACCTCCACAATATTCCGTTGAAGAATATGATTCAAACTCAGATGAACAGTGAAGTCAATCAAGATGAACCCTCACGTCCACCCTAGAATTATCACCTACATGGTATATCAAAGCTTGTGGTTCGATTATGTTCACAGGCACATCCACAAAGGAATTAAAAGTAACCAACCTTCACCAGAAATAACATCACTTGTAACAACAGCACCTCCAGTAGTAGCCTCATAATCTTCCACACTCTCATTAGGTTTAGGAGAAACAATAGAATTCACACCGCAAATAACATCATTAACATTCCCACAACCATTTTCCATAGACATAGGATCCCCTCCCCCCACAAAAGCAGGGATACATGGATAAAAAGGAATGGCACCCGAGGGGGAATAAGCGTTAACCAAAGCCATTTCACCCAAAGAAATAACAGGTACAGACTTAGGTAAGACCACATAAGAATAAACAACTTCAGATTCCAAAGGAACCGAAACATCAAAGGCTAAACTCAATTCCAAGATCACTGCATTAACCCCCAAACCATCATTAACACCCCCAACAGCAAGATCAACATAACTCAAATTTAGAGCAATAATAGACTCCTCCTGACCAGCCGAAGACACACACACAGGATTAACACCGCCATTGACAGGGATGGAATTATCACAGACGACAAGAAAAGAGGGTTCGGGTAAAGCCAAAGCATCAAAGTTCACAATGGGAGCAGAAACAGAAGCCACCAGTGGCTGAGCCGAATCCATAACCTGCCTAAAATGAGGGAATAACTTAATACAATCAGATTTGTTATGACCCACTGCTTTGCAATGAGTACAGAAACTAGACACACCTTCAAAAATCACTTTCTGAATATAACCCAAAATTCTCTGGCCCAAGTCAAACAGAATCAGGATGGTTTTTGGAAATGTCAATTTCGACTAGAATACGAGCAACTGAAGGTCGCGAACCAACAGCCGTGGCAATATCGGTATGAATTGAACTACCAAATAGGGAACCCAAGCCAAAAAGAATGCGAAGAGAGAAAAGGTGAGGACAAAGCCCCGGAAAGGAAATCCAAATAGGGACTATTGGAAACTCCTCCGATAGATCAAGGAGCGGCGACCATTTTATAACTTTCATGAAACAACCAAAAACGAAATAGGATCTATGCGAAGAAACCCTACCATAGTCGATGTCATTAGATAGCTTGATCAAGACATTCGACCGGTCCAAAAGAGAAACAAAGAACTCACCAGATAATTTGAGGTTGATAAAATTTTAACATTGCTACTACTAATATTAATTAAGTACTGTAAATAACAAATTCTAATATTGTTTCGAATGATTTGCACGCAGGATTCCGACAGCAACTCGTGCGATGAGGTATGTTTTTGAATTTTAAGCTTCAAAAATTAAATTGCCATCCTTGAAAATTAAAAATCAATGAGATCTCTATCTTAATTAATATTCAAATTTTAAGTTTTGAGCACCAATTAATCAAATTAATTAATGAATCCTTATATAGCGTAATATGAAGAGTAAGAATTTTAACATTGTTATTACTTATATTAGTTATATGGGCATATAGTTGATCATTTTTATCGAGGTAATGGCCGTTTTCTTTTTCTTGTAAATTGGAGCTTGTATTGGTTAAAATAACCTATAGCATTTTCACTAATTAGTATTATTAACAAGAAAAAAATGCGGGCAAAAAACTGATTAGAAAGTTATCACATTTGCCCGAGCAATTTAAGTTTGGCTCCTAATAGGAAAGAAGTTTGAGTATTGCGAGTCACCAAATGTTAACCCTAGCCGACGTCCGCCTTCCTCTGATCGCAAACGCCATTTTGGATCGGAAGCTAGGGCAACGACAAGCTTGCTCATTGCGAAGGAGAGACAAGAACTTGTGTGTTCCTTCAGTCTCTCTATTCGCGACTCTAGAAGCATCTGACGCCGAGACCTCCTGCTCTCGGTCTCTTCATGTTCGTACGCCCAAGTGAAGCGGCGAAAGTATGCGGTGGACATGGCTATTGGTGCTTCCGCCTCCCTTTGTCGCTATCATTGGGTAACATTTTTTCTTTAATATTTCCTAGTTGTTTATGTCGTTTCCGTTCCTATGGCTAGGAATCGGTTAATGGACCCCGGTTTCTTTGATGGTAAAGTTAAATCTAGATCTTTTAGAGATATTTTATCCGGTGATTAGGCTTCACCAGATTTTCCCCTGCTTAAAGTTTCTTCTCACCATGGTTTGCCGGCTTTGTTTATCTCTAATGAAGAAATTGTGTATCTTGCTTTTCCTTTCGAGTTTGCTTTAGTAAAAAAATTTCCCGGCCGTCGCCCACCGCTTGACTTAATTCAAAAAATTTTCTTTAACCTAAAGCTTGTTGGAAATTTTTCAGTTAATTTGTTGAATCCTAAAAATGTGTTGATTAAGCTTGTTAATGACTTAGATTATTGTAGGTTTTCTCTCATTGCTCTTATTTCGTGTGCAACTGCTTCGTGAAGCTTCTCAAATGGACTCCACATTTTTGACATTAATGTGGAATCTCCCATTGTCCCCATTTGGGTTTTTTTTCCCTATATGTGTCCTCATCTTTTCTCCCCCCGGATTCTGCATGGTTTTGGGTTGATGTTTGGTAGACCTTTGCGAACGGATAATGCGACTATTAATGGATCAACACCCTCTATGGAACGCATAGTAGTGGAATTAGATGTTATGAAATGTCATGCTTCTCAAGTTTGGCTTGGATCAGAGACTTTTGGTTATGCTCAATCGGTTGAAATGGATGAATTTCCTTTGTATTTCTTTCATTGCAAATCTTTGGATCATTCTAAGGATTGTTGCCTGATCCCATATCCGAATTTGAGTGTTTCTCCTTCTCTTAAAGAGGCAATCGCTATTGAAGTTGTTAATCCTCCTTTAGCTAATATTCTTGTGCCTAATGTGGTTTGTTTTGATTTGGATGAGAGTGATAAAAATGTTGCTATTGAGGTCCCTATTGTTTCGGGTGAGAACCCCATAGTTGATGTTGTTTTCCCTTAGAAGGCTTTACCTCTGCAGTCGGGAGAGGTAGTTCTTTCTGTCGTCCATGTTGATGTTGACATTGAATCTTCTTTAGCTGGAAATGAATCGTTGGTCCCCGACATGATCGGGGCAGTGGCTGTTGATTCTTCTTTTCATAAATTTAATGTGTGCCATGGTGCTCTGAGGCTGTGACTGTTGACCCTTCTTCGAATGGATTTAATGTGGCTCAAGGTATTTTTAGTAATTCGTTGATGAATGTGGGTGATAATGAACTTTGTGCTATTAATTTGGGAGTGGTGAACATTGATTTTAGTGAGTTGGATCCTTCTGTTGCTTCTCCTGTGTCGCCTAATGATCTGGTTGTGTCGGTCTCATCTGTGGGAAACAGAGAGAAAGAACAGTTTGTTAATGTTTCAGTTGCTTTACTTTCTGGTAATGCATTGTATACCCATGTTAGAGTTAGATCGGGGGAAAATATTAAGGAGCAAATTGATTGGCTTGAAGGCTCTTTATCTTCTCCTTCTGAAGATGATCAAGAGGAAGTGTTTGAACAGGATGGGGGCATGCGAGGTTTTTTGTGTTTGGTTTGATGGTTGCTGCTTTGGAAGCCTTTTTTATATGGTTGGTGGGGTTTTCATCACTCCTTTTGGTGTAGTTTCTATCTTTTTGGTTTGTGCGGGTTGGTCTTCGGATTTGGATGACACTTTTTCTCAGGATGTGATGGTTGACTGCTAGACAATTGGTGTTTTCTTCCTTCTCATTCATTGTTGGTTTCTATTTGAGCTGGTCTTTCTTTTGATTTTTCTTGATTTTGTTTTTATATGGATATTAAGGCTCGTAGGTTTTATTTCAATTATTGTATTTTAGTGAGCTTTGGAGTCTCTAAGGACGTGTATTTTTTATCTATTTTAACGCGTAGGCCCCTTCCGTAGGATTTTTTCCAAAAAAAAAAAAAGTTTGAGTATTTCTCCATTTGTCTCTCTCCATTAATTAATGAACCTTAATATAGTTTGATATGAAATCAAATGTTAGAATTTTAACATCGCTACTACTTTAACTATGGATAAAATATTCTAACACTAATACTCAGATTCTAATGTTTTGCAGACTTGGTATTTGAGAGATGAAATAATCAAAATTGTTGGAGCTCACTCAGCTTGTCATCCTTCCAATAATAAGCCTTTTCAAAATATATAATTATAAAATATTTATTTTTGTTATTGTGGGAGATATGGCAATAGTTACAACAACTTAATTAGAATATTAAATGGTGTTGTGGAATGTGTTTTTTTTTTTTTTTTTTTTTGTCAGACTATAATTCCTCTTTTTCATGCTGGATTTGGTTGGAACATTGAATGGATACTTGTGAGTTATCACATAGTTTCTTATAAGAATATTAATT